ATTAAGAATATATTAAAACTACCTGTTACCCGCGACTTCTCCCGCGTGGAATTTATTACGATTGGTTTTCATGGGTTTCAATTTTTGCGCGGAACTCTACTCCTTTTTCTAAAATAAAATTAGGCTAAATTACTCCTTATAACATCAACTATCTGCCAGTGAAAGTCCCGTCACAATCGGTCTAACCGAAATTAAAACACAAAGAAGAACAAAAAAGGAGATTAAAAAACAAAAAGACAGACAGACAAAAGAATTATATAATGATTTCTTATATTTACGCGAACACGACACATTGAAATAATACTAGTTTTTACGGAATTTATTGCGTATATTTGACTTTTTAAACGTGATCATGAGTGCTGTAAAGCGTTCGGAAACGTCGGGTATTTAAAAAGTTAAATATACGCGATAAATTCCGTAAAAATTAGTATTATTTCAAAAGAATTATAAATTGTTTTTCGTTATAAGTACCGCATAAACTTTCATATACATTTAGTAAACGCTGTTATTTTGACATTACAGACATACACTTTAAACTTATTTATTTGTATAGATTACATAAAGAATATAGCAATAACAACTTAGAAAAAACATACATTAAATATTCTATAATAATCTTATTAAACAAAAACGCAACTGTAGTCAAAATTGAACTTCGTAATTAGAACCCAAACATGTAATTTCTTTAGCCATTAACAAAACATGTGCCCTCATAAAACCACCTATTTTGGAAACAATGGCTCACCACATCAGTGACGGGGCAGAAAAACGCCGAGTAACGAGCGCGCGGCGCGAATCAGCCGCCGCTCCATTAACTTGATGAAGAAAGTATTTTATAGCCCAACTTACGTAGCCCCACGATTAATTACTTCAGCAAGGTTAATATCGTACGATACGATAATAAAAAATGTATTAAACATTGACGCGTTGATTTGCGTTCACGAATTTGAACCGTTGAATTTCGGGGCAAATTTTTAGAAAACACAAAGATTGTCTACCTATGAAAGACGGGAGAGACAGTTAAGAGTACCCGTAACCGACCGTACACGTAGATGGACGTGAAAAAAGCTTTAGATGTGTGTCAGTATCATGCCCATTGGAAGTCCTTAGTCTCTGCTTACCCCTCTGAGTGACAGACATTAGAGTATACGTATTTATGTATGTACAAAGATAGATAGATCTTTTTATTGATTTCGTAAGTAATTATACTGTAATATAGTTTTTAAATTAAAGTGTATACAACACGAAAACATCATGCGCTGATAACAATGAACTGTGGTGATCCTATTGAGAACACTAGTCAACATCATGAAGTTATTGTAATATTATCATCATCGGTTCTTAACACGTCTGCAAAACTTCAAATAATTCGAACAACAGAAGTGGTTGAAAACTGAAATAAAAATTCCATTACGTTCATAAATACACACAGTTCAAGATAATATTAAGCGTGTAAAAAGCCACTACATAGACGGCGACCTATGACGGTGGCAACTATGTCAAATGCTTGGCCAGGCCTTTGTTCAACGATGGACTTTTGATAGGCATTAAATGAAAGATGATAAAAAAGCAAATTTCGAGCCTAAATTTCAAAGTCTTGCGATGGGGAACCTGTCCATTGGTGGGAAGGACACATCTTCCATGTAATCCAGGTGGTGATTTTTAAGAGAAAATTACGCCCGGCTTAAAATCAACAGTCAATTTTGCAATAACCCTCTGAAGTTAATATGATAAATCAAAGAAGGTTTTGATTTTGTGTTGGTAGTAGTATTGCCAACATTGTACTTTTTTAATTACTAGCAATATTATTAACATTATTAATATTCTCTTTATCCACTCCTGGTAAGTTTGAAATGCTTGTTTAGTTCACGATAGTAATCGGATGGTGGATTCGAACCCATGACCTTTGCGTTCGCTTTAAGAAATTAAAAAAATATTGCGAGTACCTGCGAAGTCTGCCAACATGTATTAGAGTGCGCGAGAGACTTATTGCCCTACAACACTTACAGTGTTTTACTTTGTTATAATACTTCCTCCTATATCAGACTAATTTGAATACGATAGTAAAATCACTAAGTTTCTTTACCTTCATTAATAGCCGTATATTTAGAGTAGAGACTGCAAAATGAAAATGATAACCGTAACCGAACTGCAAATCACCTGAGTGCACCGAACCACGCGTGCCATTTCCGGTCACACCGCCACCCGCCCTAGCGCGCGCTTACTTCCGGAAGACAATAGATGCCACGCCTGCATCCGATCGTTGATTTCCCGCGGCCATTTTGGCAAATCCAATTTCAAAATTTATTTTCCTACCGTCCAGAATATATAGTTAAGAAAATAATACTAAATTTTGTTTGCTCCATAATTAAAAATCGAAAATACATCGTAACTTTTTTTAAATCTTTTTTAACAGATAATAATAATTATGATACGTATTTTATACCTTATAATACGCTATAGCTATAGCACTTCTTTGGCTTTACATGTTCTGACTTTAACGCCACTATTACCCCCAAATAACCCCCCTCTTTGAATGGGGCAAGTTCAGCCAAAGCCGACAGATTTATGCGCATATTGAATCGCCATTATGAAACTTGCCTGTTCTTCGCAGAAACATCCAATTGTTTTCAAGTCTTGTTGTTCTGATCTCTTGGCGTGTAATTTTATTTGAATTTATCTCTTTTATCCAACATCAATTCAAACAACTTTTTGACGAGTTATATTTATTTGATTATTAATCTATTTTTAGAAATTTACATGTTTTACAAATTTAATCGCTTCACTTATTATTATATTATATATTTAATTTATAATATAATACTTGTAGTATTCGTATATAAATAAGATATTATATTAAAAATATAATAAAAAATAATATAAATAAGATATCATTTTAGTAATATGTATATTAGAACCAAAATCAATATTTAGTTCAGGAATCTGGAACCATGGAAAAGAATTTTAATTTACTCTGATTTGTTGATAATATAATTTTATAATTTAAAATGCGGAAATTAGGAAAGAAAGAAAGAAAATTCATTCTGACATCAGACCATTAAAGCACACAACAATATACATTTTGTCACTTAATTAAACGACTTTGTACGTCAAAGACATGCCAAAAACATCGTTCAGTAGTACGTGTTGTGGTTGTTTCAATAATTGTTTCAATAACGCTTGCCGAGTGATTTTCAGTTATGACCGAAAATCTAGGGGAATACTGTCCCAGAATAACTTAATATAAAGAGCAAAATAAATTCGTGCAAATTCTTCGGAAGTATATTCACCAAGCCGGGAATTCGTAGCCGTCAGGCATGTCCCCACATTCCTCAAAGTAATGAAAAAGGAATCACAACAAAAAACAAATAAAGCAAATTTCATAAAATTAACTCCTTTATTTAAATAATAATAAAATAAAACAAATACAGTTAAACAAGTAAAAGATAAATTTATAAACTACTTGGCTAGTAACCTATATTATGAATTATAATTGCCGTAAATTAAAAGCAACTAACGATCGTTCAGCCGTCAACAGATAGAATCGCGAATCCTGCACAGCAACTAATTGAAACTAACTGCTCGTACAGTAAAACATTAGCCAGGAGCAGTGTAGCCTTATCCCGGTACTGCAAAACTTATTTCCTATATCCGCATAAGTACCTAATCTCGCCCGTGTGGTCCGAACAGACTAAGATTCCTGACATAACTTCGCTCCAAGATCTTAGATTGCGCAACAATTTAAGTTGGGAGTCCGCCATCCAAGTTTCGACCGGCAAAGTTTAAATATTTGATTTAACGTATGAGGTATTTTACTTAATCTGTGTAGCAACAATATCTCAACCTTATTCTTCAAAAATTATTTTACATTTTCTAGTGATTTTTCCAACGGCTTTAAAAATAATGAGACTTAAAAAACTAAACGCGCATTGACCACGAGCTGTGATGATTCTAACTAGAATACTAGGTCATAATCATGAAATTGTTATATTGTCACCATTTCTATATACGTATTTTTTATATAAGAATCACCTGATTGTGAGCGACTACCGCCGCCCATGATCAACTACACTACCAGGGGGAATTGCAGATGTGTCCCGGCCTTTTAACCCGGCGGGAGGCGCGTCAAAAAAAACGAACAGAAAGAGACGCTACCGGGTTAAAACTACCCACCCAGAAATTGCCGTATAACTTTATATTTTTAACTGTTATTATAAAAATCACTAAAATGTATATTAGTTTACTTTATTTTGATTTAATAAAACAAGTCTGTCCTGAAAAATTACTTTTATTTACTTATATTTAGTCTTTCACATTTATTATTAAAAAATGTGGATTTTTTTGGATAACATATTAAAACCATATTTTTTCTTATCATCAACTTGAAAATTACAAAAAAATGAACTTTATGACACTAACAAAATAATAAATTTTACAATGAAAAACAAAATAGCTTCCTAGCAACAAAACGGACAAAATTAAAGTAATTTGAACATTAGCCAAAAAAAATCAACAAAACATTTACTCGCTAAGTAGGATTTATAAAGATAAATAGCTTTATTTGCGTTCTTGGTAACAATTGTCACAAATTGGAATTGTGTGCTCCTTACAGATTTTCGCGAAACAAAATTTGCATGAAGTTTTGGTTTTACAGTCTTTCTTCCAAGTACAGACAAAGCAACGCGATGATGAAGAAGTTGACGGTGCCATTTGTGCAGCCTCAGACACTGGTTCCTCGATCCCAACTACTACCTCTATATTTTTTTTTAATTTCTTTTGGCAAGTTAGCAATTAGTTGGCTCTCCTTGACTAGGGGTTTACTCAATGCCAATGCGAGTTGTTTTAGGCAGTTTCGACGATGTTTGGCCAAGATTCTCTTTATTTTGTTTGGCAATGACGTATGCATTGATGCCTGCAATGTTCATAAAGCCAAAGAATATGACTAAGGGCCACCTTTTTTGTAATTCTAGATACAGAATACGTACCGAAGAGCTCATCTACTACATCAACGCCACACTTGTACCTATTATTTCGCCTGAATTCTGGTCTCTTGATGCATCATGGTGCATTGTTGACACTAAAAGTACCACCTTATTTTTTCTTGACACGTAAGAAACCAGCGTACAATCATTCTGGAACCCAAACATTGAACTCTTTTCTTCTCTTCTCTGAGTTGCAGAAAATATTGCAGGAATCTGTGGCTTGTTTTTTCGTATTGTGCCCAAAGAAGTGAGACCATATTCATGTAATAAATCCTGACTAAGTGGCAAACTAGTGTACCAATTATCCATTACTATGTTCCGATGAGAACCTCTAATTGGAGTAACAAGGCGCTTTACAACATCAGACGCAGAATTGCTCAAATTGTATGGCCCTTCATTAGTACCAACATAGGGTTCTATGTTGTAAGTATAAAATGTTTTGCTGTCAGCCATTAGATGGAGTTTAACACCGTATTTTCCAGGTTTACTTGGGATGTATTGGCAAAAAGGGCATCTTCCTCGTGTTTTCTCAACTTTTTCATCAATAGTTACGTGTGGGCCAAGTGAGTAATATTTTTTTAAGTTATTATCGAAGTCTTCGTAAATTTCGCGAAGTGGAGCAAATTTATCTGATCGTCTCCGATCAAGTCGGGTATCAACGTTGTCGAAACGAATACTTCTCAAAAGAAATAGGAATCTTTTTCTGGACATAGTGGCAATGCAAATCATACTTCCCGTACCATCTGACGCCCATAGGTCTTTGGTGTTCAAGTGTGCACCTCGGACTCGTCCAATATAGTAAAGCAATCCAAATAGAGCACGAAGCTCAATTTTGTTTGTCAACTTGCAGTCTCTGACACGACTATACTTTTCTTTTTGCTTTTCAATATAGATGTTTGTGTATGTGACTATTTTTGTTATAAACTCTGGAGGAAAAATGAGAGCCCACGCTGAATTATAGAAGAACAGATCCTACCTTCGTGAATAGGTCCAGGTATAATAAGGACTATATTGTGCGATCGAGTCCTAACATTTTGTGGTAGCGCACAAACTTGCCATTGTGTACTATTATCTTTGCCCGTGAACTCCCCACATCGCAAAAACTATAATGGAACATCTTCTAAATAATCATGGGATATTTGAAGATCTCGCCAAGTTCGCACTCCTAGTGGTTGAACAAGCGGAGATAACTCATGTGATTGATGATCAAAAGGATCCGCATCTTCTTCAGAATCAGTATCGTGAATACTGACATTTTCTATATCTTCAGTCTCAGAACATGATGATTCGTACTCTGCTTCTAATTCTTCCTCTCGCAAAAAATGTGACATTTTTAATATGAAATACTATAAAAAACACTCATAACAAATTTAAATCACACAAAACGAAAGTTACACAAAAAGTACTACTGGGTAAAAAACACCCATACACAGTTTGAACGTCCGTCCCAGTCGCGCCGCATGGGTAAACTGATCGACAGTCGACACCCCGCGCACGCCTAGCTGCATCCCCTCCCGAGAGGTACCTAGACCGCCGAAAATCTGCAGCTACTGGTTAAAGAAATATTAAAGCTTAAACCACACTATGGGTATTTTTACCCGGTAGCGCCTCCTGCCGAGTTAAAAGAGACTACTCGTAGGTTCTTTTTTTGAAGGTCCCTAAGTTGTATAAAATCACCAAAACACAACACCAACAAAACGTCGGGAATTAGGTATAAATTGATTTAAAAATTAATAACATTCATATACATATATACAGATGTAATTAATGATAAAAGAGTCTTTATAATTAAAACGTTCCATTTAATATTCTCATTGAAATGATTTTCTTAGAAACTTTAACATATTTGATATGTATGGATATTGTAATAAATTTCCCATCCCGTCATTTTATTAATTTATTTATCCTTCATTGTCTCACCTTAAAGTATTTCAATGGGTTGGCTTAAAGCCTAGTAGCCTTATCTAACAGTCAATACTGGGAGAAGAAAAAGTGCAGGCACACACTTTGATGAAAAGAAAAGGAAAAAAAATTAAACAACTCCTACACTTTTGTTGTCATTAACAGCGTTCTTCTAGACGATATCAATAATGGAGACAATGTCAGAATGCTATGGAACAATAAACTATGCAGAAGGTGTTACAGTGCCGCAAGTGAAGAACATAACAAAGCTACTGCTTATTCTCAGCGTAGGTATCGAAGGTATAGCAAGAAGGGATAGCAAGAAGCTAGCATACGACGCCACAGACAGAAAAATATTTAAGGTACAAATAGACCCTTAAATCAACATTTACTATATGCATAAATAGTTGACTCTGGGATTTTAATGTCCAAGAACCCGCGACTCGGTATGTATACTCATATAGTTACATATAGTTTACTTTCTTAACATTCTGATTCCCTTAAGAATGGCAAGATCTATAAAACTCTATATCTATAGTAAAATCTTGGGTCATTATTTTCCATTTCACAGGATAATGAGGAATTATGATGCCGTTGACAACTTTGTCGTCAGTGCCACCATAAATTATATAATGCAATAAACAAATATTAGACTTGAAAAGATCAGTTTGTCAAATGATCAAAAATGTTTAGTTATAGATTTTTCTTAAACAATAGCAAACTTTAAAATTATTATACCATTCAAATCATAAAATTAAAATTGTAATCTTATTATCCAATTTATGAATTATTATTAATGTTAATTTATATGTCAAATTTTTGGTTAGCTCACTGTTTAATTATCTCTGTTTTATTATATAATGCTAGCGCTGTGCCCCGGCTTCGCAAGGGTGATTTCTGGTACTCGACAACTGCGACACCTGTCGGTTCGAATGGTGAATCTAAACTATCTAGAAACCCATTCAAATACACACAAAATATTTTAACCAAAATCGGTCGAGCTGTTTTTGAGTTTTAGCGAGACAAACGGATAGCAATTCATTATTATATATAGAGATTGGAATATAAATATAACTAAAAGAACAAACAGTCCACCTGATGATAAATGGTCACCAAATTCACAGACGTATGCTTGACAGATGCTTTGTCATCCTTGAGAACTAAAATATAACGGCTCATAGTCCATGTTATTACAGTCATATCGTTTTTTATATTGTCATTTTGATTTTCTTCTCATTGCATTCTTGTTTACGTCTGTAATTATGTTGACTTATTAGGTACTAGCTGTTCCACGGGATTTCGTCCGCGTGTAGTTTATTACGGTTGATTTCATGAGTTTTTTTTTTTGCGGAACCCTAATTCTTTTCTCTAAAATAAACATAACCTAAGTTGCTTCTTATAACATCCCGATTTTGACGGGACTTTCACTCGCAGCTATCTGCCAGTGAAAGTCCCGTCAAAACAGAGAGACTAACAAAAATAAAAAATGCGTTTTTTTATATATCGTACCGTATAATTAAAAATTACAAATACACGCTTCAATTTTATTTATTTTAATAGACTGTGTTAATTTATTTTGAATAATAGTTTTTTCTTTGTTGGTGCGACAAGTAAATAACTAAAAATTTTATAACAATTACTACGAAAACTAAAGATAATAAAAAGTGGTGCCCAGCAAAAGACAATAAAATATAAATAAATAACGAGGTACAAGTTGAAGCACCAAACAGTTTCGTAGACAACATTTTCGCACGTAGCTGTAGGAAAGCAGTTGGCACATCCTTCCATTGTTAAGTGCCAGGCATAGTATGAATAAAGCCACGGATGCAACGAACACGTGTATTATTTGCTTCAAATTTTATGCGCTTGCAACCAAGTGCCCGTTTTCGACTTCTAATGTGTTTCTTAGGTTACCAATTTAAATATATAAACATTAAAAAAAATTAGTTGACCCTGCAGGCCATCCCTGGAACTTCCCGCTAATTTCGAATGCAAAGCTCTCAAAGTTTCACCAAATTATGTTGCGAAATCTCAAAGTTACAGGATACTTTATTCTTTCTCCTTCGATATCTCACTAACGAAGGAACTGATTTTTACTTTTTTATTTTTTTGTTTTTTTTTTATCTACAATTATACATCGTAATAATCGAGATAATTTACATTGAATATACAGTATTTATTACCATCAAAATAATTCAAATTTGTAAGTTCTTTTATAGAATAAAGGTGACAAACGAGCACACAGTCCACCCGAGGCTAAGTGGATACTTTTGTCTATAGACATCTACATGCAGATGCGTTGTCACCTCTAAGGTATAAGATGGAATACCTCGTTTCCAGTTAAAAAGGTATCCGGTCCTCTACACTCACCATACGAAACACAGCAACATTAAACTGCTATTTTACGTTAGTATTCTAGAGAGCGTAGTCCTTTCCCGGTCGAGCCATGCATGCTACAATAATAGATTATATAGCTGCAGCGTGACTCTACCCAGTATAAATAAAATTAAACTTTAACTATTTCCTACAAAACTTTTCAATTAAACCGAAAGCTATTTATTCTACCCACGTCGAAATAGCCAATTAATCGTTTATTGATTGATTCGTATTTTCTCTAGATTTATTTTTCTCGTTCGCTTGACGCATCCAAACAAAACGAATTAAATCGTAAATCCTTTCGGATCTCGAGCGGCGCCGTCGCTCCTCCATTGTTATCTGCTGCGGCATTTGTTCCTGTTTAATGAGATTGTTACTGTTAAAGCACCGCCGATTTTATTATTAGGTACGTGTTCACCTATATTCGATCCTGCGATACATCAACTGCTTATAACACGAATGGTTCGGTTCGATCAGCTAAGGACTAAGGAGCACACTTACAGAAAACCAGCATGCTACGGTTTAATACTGCTGTGTTTTGTATGGTGAGTATAGAGAACCGACATGTAGAAAGGGTTCGGTTTTTGCTGTAAATGAGGCAATCCATGCTAGTCTTCATCGTTGACAACGTATTCTGTATTTTGATTTTTAATTAAGGGTAGATGTGGATGTTTATGGACCAAAGCATCCACTTACTCCCATCTAGTGAACTGTATACTCGTTTGTGAGTACTTAGAAATACACAAATAAAGCACCAGCGTATTTATTGCTGCGTTAGCTGCTGTGATGATTAATGGCTGGTAGTATGGTGATTGGTAGGTTACTGTTAAGTCAGTAGGCTTATAGTTAGTAAGCATTTTGTTCTATGCTACGGTCCTCAAATTTATTTATACTGTAACGGCATATTTTGATGTCCTACAGATAATTACACTGATGTACTCGGGCCTTCTGTCGTTTTTGCGAGGGTTTTGGAGCAATTAGTTTGCTGCGAAGCTTCACTGCGTTCCTGACACCGAGTTCACATGTCTACAAAATATTTTTATTATTTAAGAATGGAGGTTTCCTCTCAGCATTTTGTTTCAACCGGCGAGATCGTGAGTAAAAATCAATTTCCTTGGTTCCTTATTGGGAATCGAACCAAGGTTGCTCGCACGCTTAGCCTCTAAGCTACTACGACTTTAAATTGTTATATATCAGAGTGATCAAATACTGGTATATTTCATCAGAAATATTTTAATCACTGTGTGATTTAGATTACACATTACCTGACTACTACAGCGCGGATTCAAGATTCGAATTCTCGTCAGTTGTTTTGATCAAAGGAACCTCATTCTTAAACAGGATTACATATTTAGGTACATATTGTGGCAACATCTTTTCCGGGACACTTGAGATTTTGAGTGAGATTGAGAGATTCTATGGGCAGCTCTACACGTCCTCGTTGGAGCCACATGCAGGTATGAATATCGATCCAAGAGCAAGTCTCCGATATTAATCCGATGATATCCTAGCCGTCAGTATGAGTGAAATTAGAATAGCTCTCCAGCAACTTAAAAACTGCAAGGCCCCGTGCGAGGATGGAATACGGAGTTATAAGGTGGAAAACCGATACTTGAATCCTTTAGAAGTTCTTTAATTCCGTCCTCCATGGTGGAACTCTTCCGAAGGCGTGGAACTGAAGTGCGGTGGTCTTATTCTCCAAAAAAGGTGACAATGCTTTCTTGAGGAACTATAGACCGATTTTCCTCAAAGCCGCGTCTGCATGCTGTTTTCGAGAGTCATTATGAATCGTCTCGCTCGCAGACTAGACGACTTCCAGCCTCCCGAACAAGCTGGTTTCCGAAAAGGCTTTTCTACCATAGACCATATACACACCCTTCAGCAAATTTTACAGAAGACCGAAGAGTACAATCTGCCATTTCACCCGGCGTATATGGACTATGAGAAAGCCTTCGATTCCGCCGAAATTTGGGCGGTGACTATCGGTATATCGAAGTGCTAAAGTGTTTGTACAGTAGGGCTACGATGGCTACCCGAGTACAGAACCATAGTA